ATGCCTCTGGAAATCCTGGGGACACTCCTGTGTAAGTAAGGAAACCCAGCTTCCCCAACCTACTTGCACAGACATGCCATGAGATTCCCCTGGAAGTGCCTCTGTAAGAGTGGAAAGCCTGGCAAGCATCTGGGGGGCTTGAGGGGCCTGATCCTGTGTGGGAATTCCTGGGGTGCAAGGATTGGGCTCCTTCAAGCTCTGAGCTGCCCAGGATCTCCCACTACAGAGAAAATACATGTCTGCTTCTAAACAGCAGCACCGATCAATACCACCTTTGTTGCAGTCACGAATCTTGGGCATTTGTGGCACAAAAAGGGGTAACGCGCATCTGTTTGTTTGGCCTTTGTGCTGCCATCAAATTTGTTTATGAGGGCATACAGATTTCCAAAGGTAATGTCTGTTTCAACCCTTAGTTCTGAATTTCTGGGGTGGGGGGCCCTGTGAAAGGCTGTAATAGTGGCACATCTACCACCCTGATGCAATCCATAAGAATTACTGCAATTTCTCCACTGATATTCATACCTGAATAAGGAGTGCAAGATATGGCCCTGAAAGAGACTATATATACCCTAGGTAACATTTGGAGAGGGGCAGCCACAGACTCCTTCCTCTATGTGTCTTGCATTACTAGAACAAATTATGATACATACTGGAATGAGCTATTAAATATTCCATTTGTGAGCACCTCAAGGACAGTAAAATGATAAAAATCAGCCAACATGGGTTTGGCAAGAAAAAAAATCATGTCAAGCCAATCTAATTTCTTTCTTTGACAGGCTAACTAGCCAAACAGAGAATGGGGAGGCAATCAATGTGGTTATCTTGGAGTTTAGTAAGGCTTTTGACACTGTCTACAAGATACTTTCATAAGAAAACTAGATGAAATCACCAGGAGGTGGGCACAGAACTAGATGTAAAAAGTGCACTCAAAGAACAACTACCAGTAGTATCATTACCAAACTGAGAGGGTATTTCTAGGGGATGTCCAGAGAAATGAGACATGAGCACTGTTCCTTTTAACATTTCAATTACCAGCTTGGATGGTGGAATAGAGAGTACACTCATAATATCTGGATTACACCAACTTATTATGGGTTGCCAACACCCTGGAGGGCAAGATCAGTATTCAAAACTATCTTCAAAAACTGGAGAAATGGTCCAAAGTCAACAAGATGAAATTCAATAAAGACAAGTATACAGTAGTACATTTAGGAAAAAGAAATCAAATTCACAATTATAAAATGGGGAATAACTGGCTTGGCAGCAGTCCTGAATGAGTCAACAATGTGATGTCATAGAAAAAAGAAGGCTAATCTCATTCTGGGCTATACTAAGAGAAGTGTCATTTGGAAATCATGGAAGGGAAATATTCACTCTTTCAGTACTGTTGAGGCCAGAGTTAGAATACTGGGTCTAGTTTTGGGCACCACATTTTAAGAAAAAAGTGGGGAGAGTCCAGAATTGAGCAACAAAGTGTTTTGAACAGGAAGATTGTGCAAATCTCTCTCAGTTGAGTGTGACAGAGGGCACCCAGTATCTGAAAATGACTGGATAGTAATGAAGGAGCTCTCCGACTATGGACAATTAGGGCAAAATGCGGGGGGGGGGGTGAAGAAAGTAGACAGAAGGCAAGGCAAACACTGTACTGGCCACTGGGACTTCTAGTGTGTGCCCATTGCTTGTACGTAAAGTTGTCTAGCTGTGGAATGAAGGGGTTTCTCAGGAGTTCCAGGCACTGTCAGATGATCCTACAGCAGCAATAGTGAAAACAGCTTTCTTCGATTTCCAGATGGGCTCCTCTGTCTTAGGTGTACACTTCTCTACTGCTGTCTTTTGGTTATCCTGCTATGAAGCTATTTTAATATGTTCTTTGTGGAATTAGGCCACACAAAAGTCAAGCTGGGAATTAAAACCAGTGAAGCAGGCAGGTTGTTAAGCAGACTGTCATGCCTAGTTCTGCACAGGCTGACAAGGTGGAACCAGTTCGAAACCCTTATGTCCTCAATGCCTTGGGATCTGCCAGGTGAGCAGTTGCCTCTTCCCCTATGACATCCTGCTTTCAGCCATGCTGCACACACTGGACTTCTCCCCAGGGAAGTTGCTAGTGGGAGGATGGTTTCTAGGACTGGTGTCTGAACACATTAGCCTGTAAACAGCCAAAAGGCAGCAAACCTTTAGAATGCAGCAAAGCCCATCTGTTGGAGCAGACACCGAGAATGGCCAGGGATTAGATGTCTGTGTTTGTCAGACTTCAGCACCAACACACCTAAGCATGTCACAGTTTCCAATGGGAGTCTTCCCCTAGAAGGAAGGGCAGTGCTATAATCCCCACTGCACAACTGAGGTACTGAGGCACAGGAAGACTAAGGGCTAAATCCTGTTTCACCTTTAGATGCTTAAATGACACTTCTGATATCATTGCAATTATTGCCACTTCCATACAGTTTGGATGCATGCTCAGAAGGCTGTTCCAGAGCAGAACAGCATCACTCAAGCACATGTGTAATGCTGGGTAAGTGCCCCCCTCCAGAAAAAAAAAGAGAGAGAGAGAGAGGAGGTGGAGCCTCAATCTAATATTCCAGTGCTTTGGACACTTGTCCACAGAGTAGACGGCCCCGCTTCTAGGCCCACCTCATCCAGAAAGGGTTTGAATTTGAATCTCTTGCTCCCCAGCAAAGTGCTCCAACCACCTGGCTACTGGCTAGGCATTGGCCAGACCATCTTTCACCCCTCACTGAAGGTGGCCATTTCAGCAGCCAGGAGGCAAAGATATATGGGGCCAAGAGGAGGAAAGCAAGTCAGTCCATGCATGGCTCAGTAAGATGGGAACTGACTTGGAGGGGTAAAAACAATCTTAGTTCTGTTTATCCATATTATTCAATGAATATTAAATGCAAGGTGCAGAAAAGCTATTAAGAACAAGGTTTTGCTCCTGTTGTTTGAGCCTACCTTGGATTGTATTATTTTTTAATTATCTGTCACAGGGGCCTAGAGCTCAAGTTAGTGAGTTTGATATTTACACACTGAAATAAAAAACAAACAAGTGAATTAATTACATGAATATAAGCAAACTACCTAGACTTATCCCAGTAGCCCAAGCTACTGTTGTTCTACCAGTTGCAAACAATTACTACTATGTTCCAAGACCCACCAAAAGAAAAAAAGAAGTTATATAAGAAAATGACCCTGAAAGAAAAAGAAAAGATTCTGCAATGGCTATGAATGCCAAATCACAGTGCTCTAAAATCAAGAGACTACATCCTGTGAACTAGGAAACATTTTTTTAAATACTTTCTTACGTTTGTTGTAGTTGCCTTTGGTTTTTGAACATTTAGTGTGCACCCAAGTCACGTTTCCTTTTTCTGCAGCCACAAAGACCACCAACTGACTTAAGAAATGAAAGCTGAGAGTCTCAGCTTATCATGTAATTTCTGGAGCTGGGGCTATAAGAATAAGCACTGCATAGCAGGAGAGTTGTGGTAAAATTATGAGCTGCCAGCAAAGGATATACAAGGGTGTGTTATCTACATGCAACCTGACTTTGGTCACACCCAGATATAAACTGCAATTTATTGTCATTAGAGACAAGCCTGGCATTTGGTGAAGTTTGGCTCTGGACAGCACCAAACTCTGGGAGAAACTGGGCTATGGCTACTCGGGGCTGCCTCAAATCAGCATGATTGGTATTATTAATACATATGCCTGGCTCAAAAAATCATTTGTACATGTATTTTTTCCTGACAGATTAATGGAAAATGCTTTTTATTAGATTTTACCAGCAATAAGACACCTAGAGGTAGTTTGCATTAGCCCCACAGGTAGTGAATCATGACCCTAGCTGTATCTCAGGGCCTCTACAAAGTCTATTTTGAATACTGTGCATTTGAATGGACTGCTGAACAAGTCTTGAAAACTGCTGTGTGTGTGCATTTGCGCACATATGCATGCAATTGTGTGCATGCCAGGACATTTCGCAAGCTTTCTGTCTCTTGCAATTCCCATGAACAGTATCATCTCTGAATACGCATACAAACCATATACAACATATTCAATATGCTAGTCAGCACAGAACCTGCCAGGTAACACCCGATAAAGAAAGACTGGAGGTCTTCAAACAGCAACCACTTTAAAATCAAATACACTGCCTTTTGGGTTACTCGAGAAAGTGGAGAAATAACCAATGCCTGTCTGAATGATAATGCAGAATCTGAGCCTATCTGTAGTATACATTTAATACAGACTACCCTATAAATATTTAAGTGGACAGAAGCACCATCCAGGTCTGATGTAACAATGACAGAATCAAGTATCATCAGCATAATGATGGCACTCCAGTCCAAACTACATATCTTCTCTGTTTCATTACCAATTTAGGCTAGTAAGGTTGTAGTTCTCCCTAAAAGGGAAGAGGTAAAGCTGAGAAACTGAGACATGAAAAAGGGATATCATTACCATGGAGTAGAGGTCACTCTGTTTCATGGTAGCCATGACTCTGGAGCTCCTGGCAGGAAGAGATGTCTAGCCACAGTCCCCTATTAGCCAATGCCTGCAGTGCACATTATTCATCAGAAGTCATATTCCTCACCCTTGCTCAAAGTAGGAAAGGAATATAGAAGCCAGGGATGTGCAGGAGGAAGAGATGAGATATGACAAAGGAAAAGGAATGTAATGAGGAGAGGTGGGAAAGGAGGAGGGGAAGCAATGAGGTATACGTAGTCACTGAGGGGCCAGTAATCCTAGTCTACGGGAACCGTTCCAGTGTCATTCATGTCACATGCAATACAAGCCTCTGAAAGATAGGCACTGTCAGTCCATACACATCATATTGGAAAATGACCCTGGAGTTGTGGTCTGAACTAAAAAGATCCCACCCCACACTGCTGGTCTAGTATGCTGCTGGGACAAATAGGTTAGTATTCCCTTTTCACAGCCCAGATATCTGCAAAAAGCTGGGACCCTTATTTTCCATCTTTACTCTCTGCCTAGCTCTTATTTCTTACCTTGCACAATCAAGTAAACCTGGGAAGTCTTGGGTTGATGCTGTGTCTGCACTGAGCATGTATAGGACCCCTCATCGTAGACATCCACTTTCTGGATCCGGAGGCTGTATTCCAGGGGGGTTTGTCTCTCCAGCTCCACTCGAGGGTCCAGGGACCACTTGTCTGTTCCAGCAAAGATGATACCAGAACGGTTTAACCAAGCCACCTTGGAGCTTCTGTCTTCTATATAACACCTGTGGAGGGTGAGACAAGAGATTGGGATATCAGCAAAGACTCCCTGCCCTCCTTCTAACTTTCCACTGCCACAGCACCATAACCATCAGCTTCCTCGTTCCCATCATGACCGGTCACATTTTTAAAGCACTTTCAAAATATTAAATGAACAAGGCTACTCTGGAGACTGAAGTGTCCTGGTCCATATCATCTCTCCCCACCCCTGCTCCCCAGGGTCATGGGTGTGCTCCAGGAAGGGGGTCGGCCAGATGTGAGGCACCCCCAAGGTGGTACTCAGAGCACTCGGAGCCTGGAAGGTGGTTGGGCACAGTGAGGTGGATGCACCCCCTGCTGGCCCACCACATGGTCCACCTCCTCCCTCTTGTGACACCTCTGCACCCTCACCACACCAACAGAAAAGGCCTTGTGAAAAACTAAAGGCCCCCCTTTGCCTTTGCAGTTACACAGCTGCATGAACGTATGTGCATATATGTGATGCTGGTGTCAGGAACATCACATTCATCCTCTGTGACATTTGCATTGTGTCCTCAGAAGGTTACAAGGCAAGTGAGAGGTGGGAAGAGGGATGGCAGATGGGTACAGCAAAGAGTGGAGAGACTGGATAGTCACCACCTGGCATAGGCTTTGTCCCATCTGCCAAGAGCCTCAGGTGTCTGCAGGCAAGAGGATGGACTGACTGCCGTTGCAGCAACATGACGGTGATTTCATTCTTTTACAGGGGAGGGTAGAGGAGCCATCACAAAGTCAAATCTAGCTTTGGCTGTGGCACCTAGTCTATTCAAAGATCAATTTCAGCCTTAATAATACTGATCATAGGAGAGATCCAGAGATGCAAAGAAATGGCATGTATGAGTTTACCTAGCTCAGCTGAGGGGCCATGAGCTGAACAGGACATGGGATACTTATCTCTTCTTTCACCCTAGCAACAATGCCTCCAAGGCTAGGCTAAGAAATCCAGATGGGGCTTTATCAGGACAGCTTGCCCATCCCATGCCTGCTTTGTGGATAACTAAAAGAGGTCAGTCTTCAGCTCTGTCACTCCCAGGCCTCTTGTGCTCATTGTCTCCTGGAATTCAAATATGCCAACTCCTCTCAGCACTACTAACACAAATGTTGTATTGGAGAGGGAAAGACAGAGGATGAAGATTATCACTGAAAGATAAGGCAAATATTTGACAGTGGGTTTTCAAACACTGTTAGGAAGGGTCAGGCATTTTCCAAGTTCCTCTGCTTGAATGCAGTTTATTCAGACTAAGCTGAGGCTGCTGTGCGTGATGTGACTCTGATGATTCACTGCACCTCCTCCAGAGCAAACATGCCCACAAAAGCTTTGAGTTGTTCTTGGGTCACCTCTGGGCATGAGGAATGCCATGCTGCGTGGTGTCATGTGGGAGGTGCACTGTGCCACTGATCAAGCTGGAAGCATGTTTGTCTGGTCTGATAAACATTTGCCCCCCAGCTAGTGCTGTTGACAGGCAGCCAAGAGAGGCTGGCAAAGGTTTACTCTTGAAGTCGGAGCTGTTTCTTTTGACCAGGCACATATTTACCCTGAGGTGAAATTAAAGCCATAATTGTTTTTGCTTTAAAATCTGTTTCTCCTGAAAGAATGGCGATAGTTGAGCAGTTATTTACATTAAGCAATCTGTGCACAGGAGCAGGCCGCTGAGTGGCACAGGACATCAGCTAACTGTACTCCTTCTCACAACACATGTGGAGACAAGAGCAGAAATCAATGACCTGAGGAAGGTGCCAAGAACAGCCACCAGGAGCACATCGCACACACACAGCCACACTCCACCCATCCCCAGGGCCTTCCACTGGAAGATCTAAAAGTTCCTCATTTGAGCCTTCAGGAATTTAGTCTTCCCAGCCAGGTAGATCAGTATTCCCAGCCAGAGAGGCTAAAGGGTGAGCTTCCACAGGATTCTTGACCCTAAAGGGACAGGATAGGTGCCCAACAGATTTTTCAAAACCATTAAAGCTGGTTAATGAATAGCTTGAATTCACTGGCCATCAGCATCACTTCTCACAATCCCGCTGTGCACCTCACCTGCATGTTTTAGGTACCAAAGTGCTTTGGAAAATCTGGCCCTAAATGAATTTCCTCAGGTCCAAAAGTTGGTCAGGGGTAAAGCCAGAACCTGCTCCTCTGAGCACCAGGGTTCAGCCTTTGTCATGAGACCCCCCAAATTAGTCTCAACTTCTCCACCTATATAAGGCACCCACTACTGACTAATATTTGGTTTTCATAGTTTCATAGTTTCTAGGGTCGGAAGGGACCCCTGCCATGGCAGGGTTTTAAATGGTAAGACTTGTTCCCATGTAATTAACACCTGTGGAACTATTTGATTGTTACAACACCCATTTCACCAAAAGGTAACATCCTATCTGATGGACCAAAGACCAAGCAGTGGTGGGAAAGAAGAGAGTAACTTGCCACAAACCTCTCCCAGACATATAGTGAACCCAGCCAGGCTTCTGCCAGCCATTAAGAAAGTGATGCCATTTTTGTCAGCTAGACAGAAAGGTCAAGCCACAAGGTAAAGAAGTACAAAACAATCTTGCCAGAAGACTTAAGAAATTCTGCTCTTGGGAAATTAAAAATGGTGCACCATAGCCGATTGTACCCTGCTAACATCCAGAGGTCAGATATTAATAGGGCCATAATAGTCAGTGCAGGTCAATTGCTAGACTTTTTTAAGTGTCCCAGTGATGAATAAAGACTGCCATCAAAATATAGATAAAAAAGATAGAAAAGAGGAAGATAGGAACAGTAACTGAAATGGATCTGAGCTGCTCTGCTCAGCATACCTGTTTCTCTAAAGCTGTCAGAGAAAAATCAACGTACAAATGTGGAATTTCCAAGTCCTGGCTCTGTGTGAACATATATCAAAGTAGATTAGGTATCTCCATGTGTATATGCACAAATGTGTGCATCTCTGTCTGTCTACTGTATGTGCTGCCCAGCTTTATGGATCCCAGTTTAATAAAGATTTATGGGATAATGCTCAGAGTGTGAGACACATTAATTCAATACTGATAAAATATTAAATGGCATGTTAAGTGACATTTTAACAGCAATGCAAAAACTGCACAGCATCTGGTGGATATTAAATGACTGTTAAATGTTTATTAATAATCAATAGGTAGGTTCACAGCTATAACAGAATGCTCATCATTAGACATACCGAAAACATTATCATCAGTTCCGCTGAACACTAACAGATTCGCAACACATTCATTTTGGGTTTTTCCTGCCTCAAATGTTCTTGGGTTGTCTGCATTGGGATGGTAAACCTCTGCTTAGCCTTAGTGAACATATGGATGAGGTGCCCTATGTCTGCGCTGCCACTGTGCTACATTTTGTCAATGAATAATGAAGTTGCCTTATGATGATAGGTATTTTCAGAGATCAAAACTATTCTTAAAATTGGATCAAAATTGATGAATGCTGCCAACAAGATGACTGTTGATCTTGGAATCATAAAAAAAGTAGGGCTGGAAGAGACTTGTGGAGGTAATCTAGTCCAACCTCCCGCCACAGGCAGGATTGTCCCTATCCACACCATGTTGTCCATTTTACTGTGAAGCCTATTAGTAAAACTACATGGTCAACACTGTCATATAGCCACAAGGCACTGGCACAACCCAGTCAAAATTTCCAGGCTTTGCTGCAGCCAACATCCACTGCTTCTGAGGAAAACAAAACAAATAAATAAATAAATAAACCAAGCAAGCAAGGAAAAAACCCAAAGACAAAACAATAGGAGAGCACAGGAAACAAAAAACACCTTGCTGGCCCTATCTGGCAACCAACAAAGCCAAGAATCTTGGGAAATACTCATAGCAGAGCATAGGCATAACTACTCCCAGATCATCCCTGGTTAATGCTTGTCCAACCTTTTCTTGGACACCTCCAGTGATGGAGAGTCCCTACACAATCTATTCCAGTGCCTCACTGTTCTAATAGTAAAGAAGTTTTTCCCAATATCCAAACTACATCTTCTTTACTGCAACTTCAAGCCCTTGGGCCATATCCTACTCTCTGCAGCAAGAGAAAAAATGGTGTTTTCCCTCCCTTTACAAGGGAGGATCACCCACCTCTCCTTTCCCTAAGATGAAATGCCGAGCGCTCGTCATGGGAAACTCCCTCCTGAGGGGGACTGAGGGGGCAATCTGCTGCCCCAACCCCCTAGCCCGGGAGGTTTGCTACTTCTTGCAGGCCCACATCTGGGACACAGCTGAGAGGATCCCAAAGATTCTCCAGCCCTCCAACCACCACCCTATGCTCCTTATCCATGTGGGCACAAATGACACAGCTCGGAGCAATCCCAGCCAGGTCATGAGAGATGACAGGTCTCTGGGAGCAGGACTTAGGGGGTTGGGGGTGCAAGTGGTCTTTTCCTTGCTACTCCCAGTTGTGGGTCATGGGCTGAGAAGGGAGAGACGGGTTGAGGTAGTCAACCAGAGACTGCGGCGCTGGTGCCATCATGAAGGCTTTGGCTTCCATAATCACAGTCCGCTTGCTAGCACCACGGCTGAAAGGGACTTGGGGGTTATGACTGACCACAAGACGCATATGAGCCACCAATGTGATGTTGCAGCCGGCAAAGTGAGCAAAACTCTGGCTTGCATCCATAGATGCCTCTTCAGCAAATCCCAGGATGTCATCCTCCCGCTGTACCTGGCCTTGGTGAGGCCGCAGCTGGAGTACTGTATCCAATTCTGGGCTCCACAATTTAAAAAGGATGTGGAGAAGCTAGAGAGAGTCCAGAGGAAAGCCATATGCATGATCAGAGCGCAGGAAAACAGGCCTTATGATGAGAAGCTGAGAGCCATGGGACTCTTCAGCCTGGAAAAGCGCAGGCTCGGGGGGACCTGGTGGCTACCTATAAGTATATAAGGGGTGTACATCAGGACCTGGGGGAACGCCTGTTCACCAGAGCGCCCCATGAGATGACAAGGTCAAACAGACACAAAGTTCTTCAAGACAGTTTCA